CTCCCCCCCCCAGCCTGAGACAGCCGTTATGAAAATAACCCGATTGGTAACCGACTGCACTTCCTCTCCCAGCAGAGCAAGCAGGCAGCGGCTGCTGGGCGGGCGGCCGGGCGGGCACACATGGGCGCAAGCCTGGCTTCCAGGCTTCTCTTCCCAATGTCCCCAGAGGCTGGTAGGGCAACAGCCCGGGAGCCTCCCCTCCAGCCAGCCTGGTCACAAGCTCAGTCCCCGTCTCAGCTCCAGGAAGGCGGGGGTGGGGGGGGTGAGACGTGGGGGGGTCACCCTACACCCTCTAGCTCCCCGTGGACAGGTTTTTCCGGGGTCTGGGGAAAGCATCTGAGACAGCTACGCACCGGCCCCAGACAAAATAACCACAGAAACAAATATCTTGTGGAGTGTTTCACAACTTACACGGCGCTTTTTCACAAGGATTAGCAGACAGGAGGCTTGTAACTCCCCCTGTGCAAGTGCCACTTCGGTCCCCGCTGAGCCACCAGGGCACCTGAGGCGCCAGGAGGCCGTCGCTGCCCACAGCCCCGAAGGGCCGGGCCGGGCCTCCAGATCCCGGGCTTCGCAGCCTGCCAGGGGGCTGTCAGGTCCAGGAGAAGCCGGTCCACGTCACACCCACCCGGCCCAGCATGCCAGCCCTCGGTTTACACTCCTGGCCCCCAGAATCTAGAGCACTAGCTCTCCAACATCCTGGTTCTAGGACCCCCTTACATTCTTACAAATTACTGAAGATCCCTAAAAGGTGTTCTTTGAGAGTTACACCTATTAACATTGACCATATTAGCTTCCGTGGTGGCTCAGATGGTGGAGAATCTGACTGCAATGCAGGAGAGAGACCTGGGTTCGATCCCTGGGTTCGATCCCTGGGTTGGGAAGATCCCCTGGAGAAGAGAATGGCAACCCACTCCAGTATTCTGGCCTGGAGAATTCCATGGACAGTGGCTATAGTCCATGGCGTCACAAAGAGTGGGACATGACTGAGCAACTAACACTTTCACTTTTTCATATTAGAAATCAACATTGAGAAATGTTTAAAATAATATTTATTCATTTAAAATATATTAAAATATTATTAAAAACAATAAGCCCAGTATGTTAATATAAATAACACACTTTTATGGAAAATAAGCTCTTATCTTCCAACACAAAAAGGTAGCGAGAAGAGTGGTATGTTTAAATTTTGTCAATCTCTAATGTCTAGCTTAATAGAAGACATCTGGATTCTAATATCTGCCTCTTTAGGCAATCTGTTGTGGTATGTTAATTTGGCTGAAGTATATGAAGAAAATTCTGCCTCATACTGACAAGTAATAAGAAAAGAGAGTATTTTAATAGCCCTTTCAGGCAATTACAGATATTCTTCTCTACTACTATACCAAAATATCACAAGTGGTAGTTTCTTAAAGGTTAGTGGCTATGTGGGATCTGAAATGTTATCAGTGAAGTTTTCACTGGTCTATCTTGCATTTTGAATTTTGAAACATTAAGCACTGGTCACTGGAAAACATCGGTTTACTGACTTAGGCGGATCTCCAGATACTGGAACGAGATTTCCAAAATTCTAATTTTCACTCAAAAGCTGAAATTTTGTCAACAGCAGCAAACGCTGTTTTTGAAGTGACAAGCTCACTTCATTCTTTTTTGAGAAAATGTCTGCTAAACATCCCAGTTTAAAGGGTTTTTGTCTGTCAGGTGTCCTTTAAAGCTAAAATGGTGTTCCTTTAAAAAAAAAAGTGACTAGTAGGGCCTGCAACTCAGTCATAAAAGTGCTTTTCAAGACAACCATCGAAGTTTGGTTTGCAGCAAAAGTGCCTCATGTATACTTCACATTTCTTTTTTTCTTTTTTTTTTTTTCTTTTTTATTTTTTTTTTTAATTTTTTTTTATTCACATTTCTTCATACAGTACTTTTTAAAATGTACACTCAAGGATCCAGGCTTTATAAAATTGATATATTTATGGCATTCTTTGTTGTTGTTGCCGTGAGTGTGAAGAATACAGTGGCTATGCATTTACGATGGGGCCAATGCCTTGGTGTATGCCAAGGTTCCAATGGCTTTACCATTGCTTTTACACCACGTTTTACCACCACTGCTTCTATACCACGAGTCCAAATATCAACACTGCGAAAAGGACATAAACCAGGGCAGCTCTGAAAGTATTATCATGAAAATAGTTTTGATCCCAACGATCCCCTGAAAGGGTCAAGGGCACCCCCAGGACCATACTTTGGGAACCCCTGATTCAGAATGAGTTCTAAAGCCTCTAACCTAGCAAGCATGCTTCTGCAGAGCGCCACTAATGCAGCCCTTGGTTCTATCCAAGGCTGTTCTCTGCCCGCTGATCTGGCTGAGCTAGAGCTCACTGCTGTGCCCTGGCTCATGCACACCTTCTGCCTGAACACTGGCCTCCCTCCCTGCCCCGCATCACAATCCCACCTGCTAGCAGCTGCCCCAGCCAACAGGGCATTACTGCCCCGGATGACTCCACAGCGCCCATCTGGCTGCCCTGCCACGGGACCCCGGGATGTCCGCACTCGCTCAGATCTGTCTGTCTCGCTCCTCCTGCTCACCGGACAAGCCCCTGGATGGGGGTGGGGTGGGGGGAGGGCAGGGGCCATGCCCAGCACGGAGTCTGGTAGCACGTCCAGTGTTTACCACTGATCAGCTGAGGAGGAAGGAACTGGGAATTCCGTGGGGCAGGGACCAGTTAAGGGAAGGGGAGGGCTTCCTCCACCTCAGGTACCGCACCCGAGGGCTGACCACAAGGGCCGCCTACTTCTCTGCGCTGGGCCCAGGGGGGTGGTGGCAGCCTTTGTCCTTAGCAGCTGCCACCCTCTCCTCTCCAGAGGACCCAGGCGGTGACAGCCGGGGCTCCTCTCCCGAAGGGGTGCCACTGCCCCCTCCACGCTCCCCAACATGAGACCTGGGCCACAGGGATTGGTGCCCGCAATCACCAGGTGAGGATGTGGGAGAGGGGCTGGGGGAAGGAGGGCGGCTGCCTCAGATGTCGGGGGGCCAGGCCAGGACCCCAGCTCTGAGCTCCTTGCTGAAACAGCCCCAGTCTCTCTCTCTCCTTCCACCCTGAGTCCCCGTCTTAGGGCCTGGCTCCCGGGAGGCCCTGGACAAATGTCTGTGGAATTAACGTCTGACTCATTCCTTCGGAGCCGCCCCTCCAAGCCATCCTCCCGCTGTCCCCAGACTTCACCTTCAAGCACCCACCTATCTTTCAGTGGCTCTCTACTGCCAGGGAACAGAAAGCAGACGTGGGTCTGGCTGTCAACAGGCTTCTCAGCCTCCTCTCCCATTTCTCCTTCATACTTTTTACTTCACAAATACACACCTCACTATGTACCAGACATGGTCCTAAGTGTTTTACAAATACTATCTCTTTCCACGTCATAAAAAGTAGTATTATCTACATTTTACAGACCAGGAAATTGAGGGACAAAGAGACTGAATAACTTGCTTGTGATCACGCAGCCAGTGAGGGGCAGGGTTGGGGTTCCGACCCAGAAGCCTGCCCTGGGTTTACGCTCTCACCCCCTCCTTCCACCCCTAGATGCTTCTGTCAGTCAGCGTGCGGGGGTCTCTTCCTGTCTGTCCGGGTGGCACTTGGCAGCCTCTCTGCCTGGGACACCCTTCCTTCCCTTCTGCTCAGCGAGCTCTCCCTCATCTTTTCCCCTCTCCTCCTTTCAGGGCTGGCTCAGATACCGGCTCTGCCGGAAAGTTCTCCCCAACCTCCTCTCCCAGGGGGTTAGCTGCTCCCACGCTCAGGTCTTCCCTTGGTTATTCTGGGCCATTGGTGCTGGTTTATGACTCAGTATCCCCCACCAGCCTGTGTGCCCCCGGGACCACGTGTTGCTCCTAACTGCATCCCCAGGGTCCGGAAGAGCCGGACGTGGTTTGCAGAGTGAATGGAGAGGACAGTGAACGGTCCAGGCGCAGCCTCGTGGGTCAGGCTGAGAGGGGAGGGCTCTGGGCCGGCAATGTCCCAGTGGCAGGCCAGGTCCTCAGCCCTTTTCCTGCCAGTTGCTGGTGTGGGCTGAGCTCGTGTCTCAGAGGCAACGGGTGAAACCAATCCCTGATGGGGATGCCAATACGCCTCCCTCCGCCTCTCTCCACGCCTTGCCGGGAGACTTTATGAAGCCCCTGCTGGCCCCAACCTCCCTCTTCTTCTGCGACTGGCCCCTCCTGTCACCTTCTGTGTCTGCAGCAGGCTGTCATTTCCCATCTGCCAGGAACAGCATTCCACTCTTTACCCCTCATTCAAAATTTAACTCCTCTGAAATCTTCTGACCACGCTGCTTCCTCCTCCCCCATCCATGAGAAGATCTTAGAATTGGCTGCCAGCCCCCCGGGCCCTGCTCTGCTTCCCAGGCTTTCTGCACTCCATACAGAGGTTTTTTTTTTTTTTTTTTTCCTGCACCTACAATCTCCCTGAGAGGTTACTATGGTCAAAGGTCTTTTCTGATGATCTGGATGCAAAAGGTCCAGATGGATTCTTCCTCTGACTGGCTATGCAACCTCAAGTCAAGTCTCTTACCCTGGCTGGGCCTCAATTTCCCCAACAGATTAAGGGGGATAACACCGTCTTGTCTTCCTCAGGGCGCTACTGCAGACTTGAAAGAAAAAGTGTTCATAGTAACCCATTCCTCGGTTTACCGAAATTTAAAGACAGAAAGCAACTCCAGAGGCCTAAAAATTAGAACAGCCACTCTGGAGCATCATTTGGCTACAACTATCTAAGCGGATGCAGATTCGATCCCTGGGTCGGGAAGATCCCTGGAGGAGGAAATGGCAAAGTGCTCCAGTATTCTTACCTGGGAAACCCCATAGACAGAGGAGCCTGGTGGGCTACAGTCCATGGGGTTGCGAAAGAGTCGAATGTGACTGAATGACTAAATGACAACAAATCAAAGCTGAAGACACACTGCCCCGAAACCAAGCACGCCGGTGGACGGGCCGCACAAGGAGTCTTGGACCAGCACCACCTCTGAAGGATCACCTGTGATGGAAAAAAACCTGCCAACGACCTAAACGTCCATCAACGGAGACTGGGTAAATAAGCTGCTGGACAGTTACAAGAGGAATAGTATATGGCAATTAAAACAGGTTCACGCTAGAGCTCAGGTTTCAAGATGGTTAAATCTCCAAAACAACATGGACGGAAAAACCTAAACTCAGAATATGTACGATACACCATTTTAACTCAAAGGCAAAACCATACCAAACCATACTATGTGTTGCTATGGATACATATATGCGCAGGGAAAAATATCTTAAAACAGGCACAAGAATCTAAACACCCCAATCAGGGCTGTGGTTTCCTCTGGGGAGGGAGACAGGGAGGCCTTCGTCTCTATCTATGGTATGTTGGTAAGATCTGGCCAAGCTAACTTGTGTTAGCTTGTTATTCTGTATTAGGTGTTATTAGTTAGGTGTTATTCTGTATACTTTCCTCGTGGCAGAATACTTAATGCTTTTAAAAAAGATTTTTATAAATTTTTTAAAAGATTTTTAAAAATATATATTAAAAAAAAAAAAAAAAAAAAAAAAAAAAAGACCCCCAGAGTGAGAACAGCTCCTGGGGGCTGCCCGGGTCTGTCTTCCATGGACAGGTTTCTGCCACAGCATGGAACCCTGAGCACGCCTCACGCTGTCTCATAGTAGGAGACCCACGTCGGTGGGGCCGGAAGAGAGGTCTCCCTTGGAAGGGGAGGGCGAGTGGGTGACAGGCGGTGTCAGTGGGGTGTCTGTGTGGGCTGGGGAGCAGGAACCAGCTTGCCCCCTTTCACAACCACCCCCGCTTCAGTAAAATGTCAGCAAGCTGGGGAAGGGGGGGTGGAGAGACAGGCAAGCTGTTAACCCGCAAGATGCTGGGGCGTGGGCGGTGCGGGCCCAGGCTCCTAGACAGCTATTTTGGCTCAGCCCTGGCAGGGGAGAGACCTCCGAGTGGGCGCTGGGAACGGGCGCCCGGCCAAGTGCACGCAAGGAGAGGTTCCGGAGTGGGGGGAGAGGGCTGGGGCCCCCACCTCTCCCCAGACCTCTCCCCGGGAGGCCTGCTGCGCTCCGCTCTCCAGGGCCACAGGCCGCTCACTGACCCCCTAGGGCGCCTTGGAGTGTGTCCCTTGAGTCCTCTGTTCCCTGCGCTTTGAAAGCCAGATGAAAGGCCCCAGGCCTGCTCCTCCACCCCGATCCAGCCAGGGAGCCGCAGGACCTCCCGCTTACAAACCTGGTCTCCCAGCCTGCGGGCGCCCCGCCCGGCCTGGCCTTGCTCTCCCAGGAGCGAGGATCCTGCTGGCAGCTCTCCCGTGGGGCTGGGGCACTGATCACACGGAGGCCTTACTCCATTCCCATGCAGGACAAAGATCTCTCGCTTTCAAGGAGCCCTCAAACCCCTCCTTAGGCTCTCCCAGTTTGGTGATGGGAAAATAATAGAAGTAGGAAGGGGGAGCATGTCCCAGGGCAGCCTGGTGTTTGGAAAGAGATTTGGCTTTGGGCTCCAGCGTAAACCGCGGGACGCTGGGCCGCAAGCCTCGATGGCCTCTCTGAGCCCTGGGGTCTCGTATGTAAAATGGGAATGAAATCAACTACAAGGTTGTTGGGCGGATTACAGGAAATGATGGACTTTCAAGCTTCGGGTAACCGTGACTCTCCGGAGAAGGACGAGCAAGCACATCCCAGGGCCCCAGAGCCTCAGGTCGCCTCTGACCTGCTCTCCGCCAACAAACCCTGCCTTTGGGGTCTCAGCTGAGGAAGGGGGCCACAAAGATGGCAGGATGCAAGCTCCTCAGAGGCATCTGTCTGGTGGCTGCTCTGACCTGCCCCCCGCCACCTGCAACCACCTTCGCAGGCTCCTGCCTGTGGGACTGGAGTGCCGGGAGGGCCCTGGGCTGAGACCCTGGGGTGTGGGGAACCGCACTGCACCCCTGCGTGGGGCTGACACCTGAAGGGCCCCCTGGGGCCCCACCCCTGCGGAGGTTCAGAGGCAGCGGTTCGGTGGGGGCGCCCCCCTGGAGGTGCACCCTGATCTCACCCAGGATGAGGGAGACGCTGAGCCTAAATGCAGGCGCGGGGGGTTCCCCACAGGCCCACCGAGAGAATCACTCCGCTGGCAGCAGGGAGGCGGCGAGGGCGGGCAGGCCAGAAGGTGCCAGACTGAGGGTCTCTCAGAAGGCGGGGAGGCCTCTGGGGTCCTGGCACGGGCACTCACTGACACGATCCTGGAGTCAAGGGATGGGCACTGGAGGCCCAGATGACCCCTCGCTAGCTGCGAGACCTCAGCCCCGTCCAAGCCACCGCCCTGGGCCTCGGTCTTCAGAGGCGGGGAAGGGGTCGGGTCAGGTGATGTGGAGGCTCCCGCCCAGCCTGCCTCCTGCCACCTCCTGCCCAGCAGCAGGCAGCCGTGTGGGCTCACCCAGAGGCCCGAGGCCCCGCGGGGGGCCAGGCGAGGGGATGGCCCTGTCTTGCCCAGCCCTCGGTGGTAGCTGTCGCCCCCTTGTGTCGCTCTGGCGACACTGCAGGAAAAGTTCCCCATCGGCTTGTGGACCCGGGGAGCCTGCTTGCCTTGGCCAGGGACAGGGGGCCCACCTGGGCTTCTCCTCGGAGCCAGCGCAGGCCAGCCCTCCGGGCCAGCGTGCCCACTCGCCTCCCCCTCTGCTCGAGGGGTGACTGGTGGATCTGGAGAGGGCTCCAGAAGTGGAGGAGGGCAGGCCCGCTTCTTCCTCTCCCAGGGTCACTCGGCCCGTCCCCTGTCCTTGCCAGGAGGATGCCCACTCTCGCACTCTCTTTTGCCAAGTGACAGTCCCGGGCGGCTCTGCATCCTGAGACCTGACCTTTCCGGACGACAGCACGGAGAATAAAAAGCGCCAAGGGCTGCCCGCACCCCTCCCCTGCCCGTTAAGCCAGAGCTGCGGGTGCGTGGCAGCAGGGGAAGAGCAGGGGTCCCACCCGCGCCCGGCCTGAACGGCTCCCACAGGCACCGGGCGTTGTGTGGGGCATGGGCAGTCAGGTGAGCCGACGCGCAGTTCAGATGCCGAGGCCCCTTTTTCTTCCCAAACCCGGGGCCCTGGCTCACAGCTGCCTCCCCTGGCCCCTGGGGCCGCTCCCAGAATTAGCCTGAGCAAGACAAACCACTCAGAGAGGCGCCTTTTGCACCCAGACAACTGGGCGCCAGAGCCCAGGCTCCCGCCTCTGCACGTGAGGCGTCCCTCAACACGTCCCTTCCGACCATTGCAAAAGCAACCCCAACTGGGGCTGCTGCCACTCAGGCCGCGGCGGGCAGCCTCCACCATCTGGACTCCAGGTCCAGCTCACTGGGCCCCGTGTGGCAGCACCTCTAAATGGGACCTATTGT